TTAGCAGCCCCTTCCTGGAGGTCCTGTAGCAGGAAAGCTAAGGTGTAGCACACAGCTAAGTGAGTGGTTTATTGCTTGAGAAAGAAATGTTGGCAAAGGGAAGCAAAGATGACGACAGGAAGGTGTTTAAGATCCCCTAGTCAATTTTTGTGGCGATTTCTAATTTTGAGAGTGTTGAACTAGTGTCAGGTAGTATGTGAGATATTGCTATGACCTTTTCAAGGTAAGAGTACATATTTTTGCCAGGTAGTGGTGGCACATGCCTTTAGTCCCAGCACTCGGGAGGCAGAAGCAGGTGGATCTCTGTGAGTTCAAGGCTAGGCTGGTCTACAGAACAAGTGCCAGGACAGGCTCCAAAGCTACACAGAGAAACCCTGTCTTAAAAAAAAAACAAAAACAGCGACAAGAAATTGAGACTGTTCAAAACAACAACAAAAAAAGTGCATTTTCTGTCTCCTCCTTCTTCTCCCCTGACCCTTTTTCTCCATTGTTCTTACTACATTCTGGATGACCTTCCTATGCTATTATGGTATCAACTCCACTGGGCCTTCAAAGATGAATACGTTTTGGGAGGAGTGCTTACCTCGATGGAAGGAGGGATACAAAATGATTGTCAGCAAGGAGGCTTGCAGCTAGGCCATCTGTGTTTATACTAAGGGTCTATAACTACAGTTATGTCATTATGAGCTGTATGCCCAACTTGCCTGTGTATTTATCTGTGAAATTATGTCTACCTTCCATCAGAGTGGAGAAATTTATATATTTAATATATATATATTATATATATATTTATTTATTTATCTTGAGACAAGGTCTTACTGTGTAGTCCTGGCTGGGCTAAAACTCACTATGTAGACCAGGCTGGCTTTGAAATTATAGAGACCCACCTGCATCTGCCTCCCAAGAGAAGTTTATAATTAGAATGGATGCAAAAGTATTTCACAAACTGCCTGGCACATAGGAAAATGACCACTAAATTATTGTTTCTGGTATGTAAACATGAGGTGCAGAGGATGGGTAACCAGATGTGACCCAAGGGGCTATAGGGAGGGTGGAGTGAGTGTCTAACTGTGTGTGGGTAAGATCAGGTTCTGGTTTGGTTGGATAGGAAGAGGTCTGAAAAGGAATATCATGGAATCGTTCCCCAGGTGGTTCAGACATATATGCTTTTTTATGTAACTATACATCAGAGCTGAGTTCCTTGTCAGTAAGTACAGGCACACCGAAATGTTTCCCATGAATTCGCAGATCTAATGGGCTGTATCAACTTTATGTTACCATCTATGGCTGGATGTTTAAGTTTTCCTGTGCACTTGTACCTGTGTGTGTATGTTCATTTCTGTCATGTGAATTGACCATAATTTACTTAAACATTTAGCTACTTTTGGATAGCTACATAGTAAGACTTTGTTTCAAAAAGAAAAAAGAAAAAAAGAAAGGAAGGAAGAAAGAAATTGCACTTCAGTTTGGAAGTGTAGCTCAGTGGCTAGCATGCTTGCCTAGCATACACAAAACCCTGGGTTTCATCCCCAGAATTGCACAAATCAAGAGTTGCTGACGCATGTCTGCAATCAGGCATTTAAGGTGTAGAAGCAGGAAGATGAGAAGTTCAAGGTCATCTTCAGCTACATAGCAAACTCAGGCCAGCTTCAGATACCTGAGACTTTGTTACAACAGACAAAAACAAACAAAAATGACATTTCGGGATCAGTGAGATGGATCAGTGCGTAAAAGGCCTTGCCACAATACCTTGATGACCTGAATTGGATCCCTGGGACTCCTAAAAGTTGTTCTGTGACCTTTACACACACTTGCATTCCTATACCTACTCACACACATATGGCATAAATAAATATAATAGAGAGTAAACATTTCATTAAACCTTACCATTTCTCAATTGCAACATTCACACTTCAACACTTGTATTTGGTGTTTCCACCGTTAATGAGGTGTTCTTTCACTTATTTATTTATTGCAAAAGGATCTCACATTGTAGCACAGGCTTACTTAGAATTCACTATGTAGCCAAGACTAATCTCAAATTTGTAGCAACCCTCCTGCCTTAGCTTCCATAGTGCTGGAACCAAAGTCATGATCCACCACACCCTGTTTATTGTTGTTTTTAATAGTTTTACTGTTCCTCATGTGACAGTCCATATCCTGCATTTTTGGTTTACTATGCAGTCATTGGCATTTTTACTAGAATGTCTTCATAATAGTTACTGATTTTAGATGAAGTCAAAATAGTCTCATTGTTTTGGGAAAGAATCTCACTATGTAGCCCAGACTGACCTTGAACTCATGATTCTCTGGTCTCAACTTCCCATGTGCTGGAATTACATGTGTGAACCATCCCCCGTGGCAGAAATAGACTTCTTTGAAAAAAGTCTTATCTTGTTTTTTGGTTTGTCTGATTTTTTGAGACAGGGTTTCTGTGTGTAGCGTAGCTTTCCTGAAACTATCTCTGTAGACCAGGCTGGCCTCAAACTCACAGAGATCCACTTGCCTCTGCCTCCCAAGTAGTGGGATTAAAGGTAGGCACCACCATTGTCCGGCTCATCTTTCTTTTTAAAATCTCAACCAGAATAAATATAAAAAGAAAGTCCAAGTTTGCTGTCCTGCTGTCAGGGCCATGTAAGGACTCCTGCCGCCACTTTGAACATTTTAATGAGCTTTCCCAGACTCCTCCTTACAGACAAGCAGACATAGACTGCTTATCGGGGTGAGGATGGACCCCAGGCCTTCACACATGCTAGGCAAGCTCCCTACCAGTTCCACCTCAGACTTTTTCAAGTTGAAAAAGTTATATGAGATTATTTTACAAGGCATTTTTTTCATAGTTAATGTTTCAAACCCAGTAAGCCCAGCCATATAGAACTGTGTCTAATGGCTTCACAGAGGTAGTTGGTGTAACAAGTTCATCACCATCTATGGAAGGATAATTGTTTTCTCTGCCTCTTTGTTCTCTCTCATGTGGACTGGCCACAATTTACTTGACTAGTTATTTTTTTTTTTTTTAGGTATTTAAGGATTTCTTCCTTTGCTTTTGCTACCACATATACCATTAAAATTTCAGGTATATGGCTTTTTTCATATTGTGAAGAATTCCCTGGAGGGGAAAGAGTGGGTTGCAGGGTTATTCGTCTTGACTCAGATAATTTCAGATATTTTCAGTTTCCCAGCTCCCACCGAAGGTGGTGAGGAAAGCCTCTCAGAGGCTATTTTCTATAAGCAGCAGCAACAGCAGCAGCAAAGGGGTTACTAAGAGAAACTAATAGAGAAGGGAGGGGTAAAGGGGGAAAATAAACACAGAGAGTGGCAGCAAAGAGGAAAATTACCAGATATCATGGCTTTTCTAAACTATTTTCTATTTAGAAAAGTAATGTGTGATCCTCATAGATAACCCAGACCTGGGGCAGGCATAGATCAGAGGCAGAGAGCACATGAATGTAAGGACCTATGTTCTATTCCCACCACTATGAAAGCAAACAAAATGTCCTCCAACTTTTAAGAATATTTGCACTTTGTTCGTCTATACATTTATTCTTTTCTCTTTTGGCTTTTCAAGACAGGGTTTCTCTGTGTAACAATCCTAACTGTCCTGGAACTCACTTCATAGACCAGGTTGGCCTACAAACTCACTGAGATCCACCTGTCTCTGCCTCCCAAGTGATTAAAGGCGTGCACCACCATTGTCCCGCCACATTTATCTTTTTTAGAAACAATCTTGCTTTGTAGCCCATGCTGGCCTGAATCTCCAGATCTCTGTCCTCAGCCTTCTGAATGCTGGGGTTAACGCTCAGACACTTTTGGGATAAACCTATCCGGTTTATATAATTTTGGGGTTAAATAATTAAGACAGTTTCCACTGCCGGGGAACTCACTCTAGTTCCTCCAAGTGGGAAGGCCTTCTGCTTGTTGTTGCCCTTTCCTAATGAGAGATGCCCAGAGGGGCTCTGTCTCCCCTCCGGTCTACAGTTTGGGGTGGCAGTGAAGACCTGCCTGCGGTGGCTCCTGCAGGGTTCGGGACAGGGAGGAACTGCCAGAGAAACAGCCGGCGCCCATGTTGGTACCTGGGGCCCATACACACTGCCCGGCAAGAGAAGAGACCAGAAGGCTGCAGCTGCCCTCAATCCTCTGTGTTCTCTTTAATCCACATTCCTCCAAACCTCAGCAAGATCCCAAGCCCAGAAAAATGAGAGCCACAGTCTTGGGATAAATCTGGCCTGGTCTTCTGTTTAAGGCCTTGCACCCTCAAAGTGACTGCTCTGCCCAAGGCTGTTTAGTTTGGGGCCCCTCATTTGGCCCGGGGGCGTAGCCCTCACGTGAGTCCTTTGAGCTTGCACCACCTAGTCTGACTCAACTGCATCCTTGGCAAAAACCCTTACCGCCCCGTGACTCAGTTTCTCCAACTGCTCACATGGGCAATAACATGAGGCACCAGAGTGGAATGCGGAGGGTGCCAGAGACAGCTTCTCTGCAGTGCGTGTTTTCAGGCAAGGGCCCAGAGGCTAGAGTTTGTGCCGCCCAGAGCATTCTTCCTGACCGTGCCCTGCACTGGCCACAGCTTTGGGTGGCAAGGATTCCGCAAAGGGCACCGACTAGACTGCGGGGAGACACCGCCGGGGTCATTGAGGGACTCCCGGGGAGACGGCGGGTGCCCGTGCCCGTTCCAGGCCCGTTCCCAGTACCCGCAGCCTGACGCAATCCGACGCGCCCTTGCTGCATGCCAGTGCTGGGGAAACCTTCTCCGCCGTTGCATCACTCCAGCCAGGTCTGCCACGGGAGGAGGAGTCGAACCAATCAGCACGCTCGCTGGGCCGGGGGGCAGGCTGCTCTGGTACCCACTTGGAGGGCGGCGCGGTTAACCGAGAAGCAAAATCCAAACACGATTGGTCAAAGGGAGATTTGCCCCGCCCCAATCACCGAGACAGCTGGAGGCAGTAGGAGGGCCCTCCCGGACGAAGGGTTTAAAGAGCGCCTGTGGGGGGGGGGGGGGGTACCACTCAGCTGGAGCGACGGATCGGTGCCAGGCCAGGTGTACGCGTCCGTCGGTCTTTCCGTGCCGGAGACCAGTCCCGGAGGCCGCCTGGGCCCGTCCCTGCGCCCGGCACCATGAAGCAGGAGTCCGCAGCCCAGAGCACCCCGCCTCCCTCACTGTCCCCTGCACCATCCGCGCAGCCTTCCTGCGAGGATGGCGACCCCCAAGCCCTGTGGATTTTCGGGTACGGCTCCCTAGTGTGGAAGCCGGACTTTGCCTACAGCGACAGCCGCGTGGGCTTCGTACGTGGCTATAGCCGCCGGTTTTGGCAGGGAGACACCTTCCATAGGGGCAGCGACAAGATGGTGAGCATCCTACTGTATTCGGAGGAGTGAGGTGGGGTCGTCAGGATGTCCTGGAATGTCAGGGACTTCGGGCTAACTGAAGGCAATGTGTAAACCTGGCTTGTGGTTTAAATTTGTGTGCCTGGGGATCCGGTTGTAAGCACCTGTGGAGTCGTGCATTGATTACCAGTTTGGGCCATGCGCTGCTTCTTCTGCATCTGCCCATCACTACTTATCCTTGACACTGGATGAATGGCACGCTCTGAGAGGTTTGGGGCTTGGGTCAGCACTTTTGGCTGTTGACAGATATAATAATTATTTCTTCCTCTTTGTCCTCTTCCTCCTCCTCCTCTGCCTCTTCTTCCTCCTCCTCTTCCTCCTCTTCTTTCTTGCCTACTTCTTGCTATGTGGCCTCAAACTTACACTGCAAACTCCCTCTCATGGCTCTGGAGCGCTAGGGTCACAGGTTTAAGTCACAACAGGATTAAAGCTCAGGTGTATGTGTGGGTGGGTGGGAGGGGATTGGACCTAAGGCTTTGTGCATGATAGGCAAACAACCTGCCACTGAAGTACATACACAGCCCTTTCGGAAGTGCTAATACCTACTTTGTCTTTTTTCAAACTCTTTCTTCGCTCTCTAGCCTGGCCGAGTGGTGACCCTCCTGGAAGATCATGAGGTGAGTGTGCAGTCGAGAGGGGGACCTTGGGCTCCACTGTAAGGGTGGGTGGAAGTGTAGCCCAACTCATTGCTTCTTGGGGAATCAGTTGAGTATCTTATTAAGATGCAGGCCTGAGTTTAGGTGTAGAGTTGAGTGTGAGAGTGCAGTATTATGAGTAATAAGTTCATTAGTTCCTGGGGTGAACCATATACATAGGCCTGCTGGTCTTCTGGGGCAACTTCACTTATGTCAGCCCTTAAGAAAGGTGAAATGGGGGTTGGAGAGAGGGCTCAGCAGCTAAAAGCACTGGCTGCTCTTCCAGAGGCCAATCAAATCCCAGCACCCATGTATGCCTCACAGCCATCTGTAGTGCGGTCTGATGCCCTCCTCTGGCATAAAGTTGTACACTCAGATAGAGCACTCACGTACATACAATAGTAAATAAATCTTACAAATAAAGGAAAAAGGTGAAATGTCCAGGCACAGTGGCTCTCGCCTTTAAACCCAGCGCCAGGAAGCAGAACCATGCGGATGTCTGTGAGTTCAAGGCCAGTCTGTGTACTATAGGAGATTTTGTCTCAAAATAAACAAACAAATAAAATAAAGGGAGGAATATTGCTTCTGAGTACCACAGCCAGCCTACCACTTTATTTCATGAAGAAATGGCTCACTAGGTAGAAGTATTTCCTGCTTTTCCAAATGGCCTGGGTTTGGTTCCCAGCTCCCACACAGTGGCAAACAATCTGTAACTCCAATTCCAGGGAATCCGACTCTTCTGGCCTCCGAGGACAACGGGTCTGCATGTACAAATATGGCACAAACATACATGAAGGCAAAATACTCATACACATAAATCTTTTTTGTTTTGTTTTGTTTTTCAAGACAGGGTTTCTGTGTAGCTTTGGAACCTGTTCTGGAACTCACTCTGTAGACCAGGCTGGCCTTGAACTCACAGAGACCTGCCTGCCTCTGTTAGGATTAAAGGCATGTACCACCAATGCCCAGCAGATTTTTAAAATTTTGTTTATTTGTACGTGTGCTCATGTGCACATGCTTAGTTTACATGTGGAGGCAAGAGACAACATGTGGAAGTGAATTCTTTCCTTCCACCATGTATGTCCCAGGGATTGAATTTAGGTTGTTTGGTCATCAGGCATGGTAGCAAGCACCCCACCCCTTGAGCCATCTCCCCATCTCCCCCCCATAGAGCACAGTTGCGGAGTGTGTCTAGGGTAGCATGCTAGAATGAAGGAGGGACCAGCAGCAGGCAATATGACTGACTGCAGAGGTCTGTCTTCTCCTAGGGCTGCACTTGGGGTGTGGCATACCAGGTGCGAGGGGAGCAGGTGACCGAGGCCTTGAAGTACCTGGACGTGCGGGAAGCAGTGCTTGGTGGCTATGACACTAAGGAAGTCACCTTCTACCCTCAAGACACCCCTGACCAACCCCTCACAGCCCTGGCCTATGTGGCCACTCCACAGAACCCTGGCTACCTGGGCCCCGCTCCAGAGGAGGTTATTGCCACACAGATCCTTGCCTGCCGAGGCTTCTCTGGCCACAACCTTGAGTACTTGCTGCGACTGGCAGACTTCATGCAGCTCTGTGGGCCTCAGGCACAGGACGAGCACCTGGAAGCCATTGTGGATGCTGTAGGAACAATGCTGCCCTGCTCTTACCTCACTGAGCAGGCTCTGGCACTGGTTTGAGGAGCCAAGCCCCTGCAGGGAGTGTCCGTGTGGATGTTGACAAACAGCAATATGTAGTACTTGACGATGGAGCTGGAAAAGCTTGGGAAGTCATGGTGGGTGACCGGGCACTTTTTGTCGCTGCCCCTGCCTGTCTCGCTCACTTTTGATTGACGCTGACTTACTACTTGAAACTTTATTTATTGCACCATGTTGGTGTGGTGGGCAGGGCAGGTGGGGGACCTGCCCTGCACGTGGGCCCTGCTGTGCGGTGGCTCTGCCCTAGTCTTCTGGTGCCTGACAAGAATCCCCCCAGTGCTGCTGCTAATTCCATACCACCCAGGCCTCCACACCCCTAGGGAGCCTCCAAGAGCCTTGATCCTCTGTTCACCCAGAGTAACAATCCCAGCCCTGGAAATATCACCTGCCGTGTTCCCACCCTGCTGGGTGAGGGGCAGCAGAAAATGAAGAGTGGTAGCCCTTCAGGGACAAAGGTCCCCTTTCAGTTTCAATCCCTATCCCTCTGTCTGTCTGGATCACCCCTGAAGACCTGTTGGTCTATTCCTGGGAAGCATCACTACGGGTCCTAGTCTCTCCTCAGTATGTCCCACACTATTACCATAAACATCTTTAATTACCTTTGTCAGAATATGTTTTGTCTTTGTATGGGGCTTGGGTAAGTGAGGGCTAAACCTTGAAAGGCTCCCAGGAAGGGACAAGGCTCACTCTCCTCTGCCTTCTCCCAGCAGCTAGGCAGGGTGAGCAGATGCCATTGTTTCCAGGGCTTTGTGTATACAAATAACACCCAAGACCACCTGCAAGCCTATGATTGAGCAAGCTTGCCTCTGCCCTGCAACCTTATGCTTCACCCTCCGGAGCTGTCCCAAGAAGGCTGGGGAGCTAGAGCTAGACTTTGCTCCATCTTTAGGGCCAGGCACTGTCTCTTTCTGAAAGCCAGTTCAGATCACAGCTTCAGATCACAGGGGCGCCTGGGGTTCAGTATGATGATGACAGCCTCCTAGGCAATGCCAATAGAAGGGTCCCGTGGCCTGGAATTGATGTTCCTTTATTCCCAGATTCTCTTAGGGATGTAGGGTTGGCTGGCCCTTCTGGTCTGACCTGTCAAAGCTCACCTGCAATGGCCCCCCTGCCCTTCCTTGTTTACCCTCTGTATGTCCCAAGATGTTGCTTCTTATACCTTGGCTCCCAGGGACAAGTCACAGCTCCCAGATCTTAGCCTGAATAGGAGTTTCTCCACAGGGAGTGAGTAACACCCTAGAGCCACACTCCTAGCTGATTGGCCTTAGCAGCAAGAATCAGAGTCCAATCTAGCTCCTCCTCTGTCCCTACTGCCAGTGTCGGGGGGGGGCATTGTTCAGAGAGGGGTGCTCTCTCTCTCTGAGACAGGGTTTCTCTGTGTAGCCCCAGCTGTCCTGGAACTTGATTTGAAGACAAGGCTGTTCTAGAACTCACATCCACCTAGGTCTGCCTCCCACCTGGCTCTGTCTCTTTAGGGATGCTATCTATGAATAGTGGATGGGACAAGTTGGATGGTATGTGTTGCTACTGCTTTTGTGGCCAGTGCCCGTATTGGTCTGGGTGTCACCAGCAGGGTCAGCTCTGACCAGCTGGGCAGGCAGTGTGCCTGGGAAGAATGCCTTGCTGTGTTGTGTGCCTATGTTTTGACGGCCTCGTGTCTTGGCCATTGATGGGAAAAGTGTGGACTATGGCCAGGTTCTTCTGGGAACCTGGTCAGGACAACACAACAGGAGGGAGTTGGTAACGAGGAGCTCTTGGCATCCATGCCCTGGGCTCTCTGGGGCAAAGCAGGACGCAGCTCTGCCCGCTCTGTAGTGGACTGCAGTGACGGTGAGAAGGGGTGGAGAAGGCTGTGTGATAGAGCACGTGGACCACCATTCTTTTCCTTGTTGTTTTGGTGGGTCACTGGAGAGCGAACCCAGACTACTACACACTAGACAAGTGCTCTACTGCTGAACCACATTCTCAGGCCCATTTACCTTTTGCTTTGAAACAGGATCTTAGTAAGCAGTCCAAGCTGGTCTTGAACTCACCTGTAGCTCAGGCAGGGCCTTGAACTTGCAAAACCCCTGCCTCAGACTCCAGAGTGACGGGGATTGTCTCGTACTCCTTACTACTTACACTTAAGCTACCATTCTTCAAGCCATGTGTCATGCACAGTTCTAGACATGTTGGGGATGCAGCATGAAGGAATTCCCCTCAAAGAATATGGAGTCTAGAATTGGTGGTGACAATTCTGCTCGAAATGTGACCACCTAAACGGGTCCCCTGACTCAAGTGAGTGGACAGTGAGGGAAGCCTGACTGGGTGAAGAGCTCCAGAAGGCATCTCTGCGGATAGTGAATCAGGGGACACTGTGTGCCTAAGGGGGAGACAAGGTCAGATGGGCTAGTACACAGGGGAAACATGGGGCCAGGCAGGTGGCAGCCCAGGCGCTGGCCATTGAGGTGAACTGTGGCTACGCATTCCTCCAGAGTCAGCGGAGGGCCCTGGCAGATCAAGAGCAGGAAAGGAATGTGCACAAAAGAAACCCTGACTGGCTGGTCAGATTGCAGGGAGAGGGGCTTGCTGGAGGTAAAGGGGGCATGAGCTAAGGCCACCACATGGACAAAAATGGGTCTGAGAGCAGTTTAGGGGTGAGACCAAGAGGGTTTGGTGCTAGGCTGGAGAAGACAAGAAGAGAAAGCAGATTAAATGCAGACTCCACTTCCTCTCTGAAACTCTCCCACTGCACTAAAAAGCAAAGTAAGCCAAGAGAATAAAAAAATAAAATCAACAGCAACAACAAAAAGGCCCAGGTTTACAGTTAAGTGGTGGAGCATATGCTTAGACGTCTAAGGCTCTGGTATTATAATTTGGCATCAAAATTAAGAAAACAATGAACCTGTATATACACACAAGCATCAGAAAGGGGGGGGGGGTAAAGGGAGAAGGCAAAAGAAGGGAGGCCAAAGAACTGGGAGAGAAAAAACCTATACTCTCAGAATCAATTTAGGGGAAGAGTGCTGTCATTATATTTTAATAACTGACAGCACATCTCACTGGCTTCTGACCTGTCTCTGCATCGACTCTGTTGCAAATACATTGCTGTGTAGCCTGTGGAGAGCTCCACTACATCCCTGAGGAGATGGAGGAAAATACTTCATAGATTCCCCGAGAAGCTGTGAGTAACCCTGGAGACTCCTGGTCCATATGCTGAAAATTCCTGATGGAGGAACATTTCTTTTTTATGAAAAATTATTTTATTATACAATATTAGCCAGATGTGCTGGCACATGTCTTTAATCACAGCACTTGGGAGGCTGTGAGTTCAAGGCCAGCCTGATCTACAGAGATTCTGGCACAGCCAGAGAGCTACACAGAGAAACCTTGGCTTAAAAAAAAAAAAAAAAGGTGTGGGGGTGTTTGTGTCATATCTGTGCATCGCATGCATGCGGTACAGGAGGGTACCAGACCTCTAGAGCTGGAGTTACAGCTCACTGTGAACTGGGAGTTGAACCCAGGTTCTCAGGAAGAGCTGTCACTCCGGCCCCTCCCCCTTTCTAAAGACAGGTCACACTAAGTAGCTCTGACTGGCCTGGAACGCCCAAAGATCCACCTGCCTCTGTTTCCTGAGTGACTGAAAGTGTGGCCTCAATAACAAATTCCTTTCTTGGTTGGAAGAGATGGGACGTGGGAAGAAGGGATGTTAACCTTGCAATTAATTTCAGTTTTCAGAACTCTCCTAAATCATCGTGCCCATCCCTACAGTCTTCGCCAGTCATTTCAGGGTGACTTACTGAGCCTTCAGGCGTTGAGAGGGCCCTTGACCTCACCCGTTGGGGGACAAACAGCCCATCCTCATCCTTGAAGAGTGGGGCAAAAGGACTTGGTTCTGGTGGGGCCCTGGAGAAATAACAATGCTCACAGGTGGAGGAGACTTCAGCAAAGGAGGGAGTGTGACATAATTGCTCCATGGCATGGTTAAGGGGAAGGTTTTTGTTGTAGAGAGAGAGAATAGCCCAAGGTATCTGGTCCAGAGCAGAGAGAGAAAGAGTAGATGGAACATGGCCAGGGCTATCTTTGGGGGGGGCAGGGAAACAGCAGGGGGTAGGAGAGAGAGAGAGAGAGAGAGAGAGAGAGAAAGAGGGAGGGAGGGAGGGAGAGAGAGGGAGAGAGGAAGGGAAGGAGAGAGGGAGAGAGGGAGGGAGAGGGGGGAAAGAGAGAGGGAGGGAGAAAGGGAGGGAGGGAGAGAGAGGGAGAGAGGGAGAGAGAGGAAGGGAGAGAGGGAGGGAAGGAGAAAGACGGAGGGAAGGAGGGAGGGAGAGGCCATGAGAATAGCAGGGTTATAAGGAGAATGAGTGGCTGGGGGAGGGAGGCCTAAGGGCTGGAGGGCGTTTAGGGGAGCAGATGAGAAAGGCTAGGATGCTGGCATGGACTCTGAAATCTATAACAGGTACTTGAGATATTGAGGGAGCCTGGTAATAGGCACCGCAGACAACCATTTGTCCCTTCTGCCAATAAGGGACATCACTCCTTTTGGTAGGTGGGAACTAGTTTTGCCAGTTCCTGAGGGATTCTGACTTCCATCTAACTGCCAGAAATCCTCCCACAGTCCAGCTTGAGTCCATTTGTGGATTTTTGGACTGCCTTTTGGGGTTTGGGGGACTGGAGTTTCCTTTGGACCTGACAGGGAGTTACAATGCTCCACCAGCTGAGGATTCACTGGCTACCTTAGGGTGACATAAAGGAGGAAGTGTGTTTTGTTTTTTTAAACAGGGAAGTTGTGTTCTCTGGTGATGTTGTTGTTTTAGCCTGTTTTTCCTCCCACAGAAGGATCTTTGTTTTTGTTCTTTTTGTTGGTTTCTGTCTTCCGTAAAGGCACTTGTGTTTATAGTGTGGGAAAAGGCACTGGGGACAAGAGTTGCCAGGAACCTATTGTGACCAGGCAAAGGCCGGTGTGAACTACAGGAGAGCGGGTGCCCAGAAGGCGGTGGAGACCCCTGCCTCTTGGCAGTTGGCTATGAAGCTGAGGCAAGCAGAAGAGAGGAGACTTAAGACTTCAGATTTGCTTGTGGAGGGGCACTGCCCCACAGGGCCATGGCGGGATCTTGGTGACCACTGCCACCATTCGGTAGTTATCAGTCTCTGGGCAGCGTCCCACACTGAGACACAGGCAGGATTCCATTCCTTTGGGTGCTGTGTTCTCCTGGAGCGTGGAGGTGTCTGTGCTAGATGAGCAGAAGTTGTGAAGAGAAGCCCACAGGCGGGAGTACTTTCCCTAGTCCAAGCCTGGTTCTAAAGAGGGTCCTGGTATGCTGAAGCCTGAATCCCGCTTTAGTGCCTAAGACTGAACTAGGGGTGGCAGGACCGTAGGAGAATGTCCCCGAAGGCCAGAGTGCGAGCTCCAGGCACAGCCTCCTGCCAGTGGTTAGTTGACCACGTACCCCAGTGTGCCTAGAACAGGCCTAGTTGTCTTGCAGGAAATTATTAATTTGTCCTCAAAAGCATCCCAGTTTAGACAGTTAAAAACATGGTGGCCTAGACTGCTGGACCCAGACAGGGTAGCTTCACTTAGCAGAGTCAGCCGAGGGGCAGAGGCCCGGCTCCAGACAGAGTCTGGGTGGGGCC